ATGGATTTGAATCAACAAAATCAAAGTAATTAAATACCATTGAATATAATAAATATCATGCTAAATACTTTGAATATTTAGTACCGAAACCTCGTAAGGGACGCAAAAAAGCAACCGGTAATCCTCGGGATTTGACCGCAGAACTTCAATTGTGTGTTCCTTCTACTTCATTGTCCAATACAACACCAACAAAATCATTGGTTCGAAACGATAAACCAGAGGTGACTCCTGATAGAGCTCAAAAAACTAAGAAAATTAGAGCAAAACCAACCGATAAAAAGCTCGATTTAAAATTAGTTTTCGCGAAATATTGCATGAAATGCAAGGATGAATTAAAAACAAGCGTTTCCATTAAATGTAACAATTGTAGCATGTGGTTTCACATTACCTGCATACCACATTTATCTGACAAAGTAAGTTATATTGATATATTGTAACATATATTTAATGTGTTTTATTGTAGACATCACAGGAATTGAAAGACAACCCGTTTATTTGCGCAATCTGTGAATCATATAATTAATTAAGTCTGTTAACTATAAGTAAATTTGTAATATTTGTTATAAAATTAATTTATTTGTCAACTATATTGAAAAATATTTGATATAATGTATTTCTAATTTCATATTCGTGTTCAGCGTTAAATTTTATATAAAAATAATTCATTAAATGTTTTGTTCATTAAAACTTATTGTGACATAACTTTTTGAAAGACCTTATACTTTTTGATTTTGTTGCATTATTTTCATTTACTTGATTACATTAAATGTATTGAAGGGGGCAGTGATATAGTGATATATCATGACGTTCTTACTTTATTTTGGTTAATACAGGGAAAGGCTATTATGGGTAAAGGTATTAACTTTAAAGTTATTAACTTTGTGAACATGGACTGTTATAACTTAATTGTATTATATTACTTTAAAATGTACCAATTTAACTAAATATTAATACTATTATTTATATTTAGTTATCAAATAGTTATTATCAATTAAAAATAAATATAAGTACTTTCACTACAGGTAATGAGGTTCTGAAATGAAACAAATTGTAATCGTAATTTAGTTGATTTAGTTACATTTAAACATATTAATATGTATATCAATTTAAACGTTAAATAATGAAGAATATATTTAGCGAAAGAATTTTTTAATTATCTTCAAATATCGCAAGAAAATCGAGATTATCTTCTAATGTCGAATTAATCTGTTTTTAAAGGTTTCGATATAATCTTCGGTGATAATTTCGATAATAAATTAGGCTAACTATTATTAATCTGCATAAACGATATCATAATACCATAATATAAAAATTTTACTGAGAACTTTATCCAAATAATTATTATAAACCCAAAATCGTGTGCCGAACATGTTTGCTAAATTCGGCAAATATGGTATAAATGTGATTGAAAATAATGATCTTGTTAATAGTAACCAGAATGCATGGTAAGTTTATTTTTATTGTTAATTTCTTTTGTTTATTAGTAATTTAATTATACCTATTAATTTTTAGGAGTTATTTCTTATTAATGTTAGTTTTTATAATTTAAATTAAAACAAACATAATTAAAATTAACATTAGTTCTATGGGTTAAAAACAGATTAATTCGACATTAGAAGATAATCTCGATTTTCTTGCGATATTTGAAGATATTTAAAAAATTCTTTCGCTAAATATATTCTTCATTATTTAACGTTTAAATTGATATAACTATTGATATGTTTAAATTTAATTAAATCAACTAAATTACGATTACAATTTGTTTCATTTCAGTACCTCATTACCTGTACTAGCATAAATAACTATTTTATAGTAAATTATAATTAAATTCGTAAATAGGAAGTAAGTTTTAAGCATAAGTACAGTTTGCTTTCCGTTGTGGCATTTCGTCTGGTTTGTTAAATATAATATAAGACAGTATATGACCCATGAAAACTCATTGCCGGCTTAACTTTTACGTTTAATTTAGTCATAATTATTACATTACATTTATAATGATTAAATGTAATGCTAAAGTTATGATTAAGTCTAATAACAAGTTAAAAGTTGAGTTTTCGTGGGTCAAACTGTCAAATCGTAGAATATTGATTGTAATGACATTGTTTGTCAATAATTTTATGTTTTTGTAATTCATCTCTAAATAAAATTCATTCCAAGTTATCTCGTCTATATTTGGATATTCAACGAGCAAAATAATCAACGGGGATAAAATGTTGATACATTATTTACATAATTTAAATCATGGTATGGATAACTTCTTAGTGATAAAATTTTACTACCTTTGAGTCAAATATAAATAGGATAATTGGACTGAATCTCATGTCTACAAGTTTATTGACTCATCAGTAAGGAGTCATTCAGTATATATTTATAGTCATAAACATGTATATTCAGTATATATTTAGTCATAAATATGTATATTCAATAGATTAGTAGATATCTGTATGTATGACTTATCGTAATATTAATTATCACTGATAATTTATCAGTTAAAATATTGTATACGTGAGATATAATGCATGTTATATAAGAGCGGTGCCTAATGTAAAACTAGAACAGAGTTAACAGACTATAGTTAAAGTCTGAAAAGTGTAGTCAACTGAGGGCTACGGCCTTCAGTTTTAATAAAGTTGATTATTGTTATGTTAAATGTGTTTCCAGTGTTGAGTAGTTCCGAATTAAAATTATACACTGACATGTGTCGGTCGACACTAGCCATGTCTGACCATTGACTGACCTCCCGGTCAGTTCATAATCAATAATAATGTTTAGCATAATGTTATAAATAGAGCCTCTGTTTTTAGAGAATAAAAACATTCAAATTCGAGCAGGAATCGGGAGTATAAAATTGTCAAAATTGGGAATAAAATCGGTAACAAAAACTTATAAATAAAGCTTGTATTTGCAGTATTTCAAGTTATAGGGTATTTTTGTCGTTTACAAATTACTTATAAATTTATTAAAGGAAATTTCTATTACATCAATAAATAAATAACTTATTTAACTTATTTAAAATAAGCAATAAATTAAGTCAATAAATTGATTTTCTATGCATTTGTTGTAAAATAATTAATGGATGAAGAGTAGCTCGAGGTGTTGGTAGAGATATTGAGTGAGCGGTCGTTATCCGCCGTTTAGAGTGCGCCCGAATTGGATACGTCATCGAAGTCGGAATGAAAAATGGTGTCGCGATTTAATCCGAACTTATTGTGTTGTTTCCGACGAAGTCGTTATGTAGTTGAAGAGCGATTCCTCGCGTATCCCCGAGTCCTGAGTCCTTTTGAAGGCCGTAGAGCCGATCCCTACTCCCAGTATGAGAGTCAAGACCGTCGAGTCAATCATTATTGCCAAATGGCGAGAACCAAGATTATAATAAACACTGTTTTCCAATAATAATTGCTTTATTCAAAAGGAACGGACTGTGTGTTTTGGGGTATAATTTTTCATGCTGACATTTTTAAAAATTTACTGTTACGGTTTTCTGTCAATGATTTTGAATAGACAGATTATATTTTTAATATTAAACAAAAAGTATTTTTGATTTTAGCTTAAACTTTATTTTATTAATCAATAAATTTCACTGTAAACATTTTTAAAAATTTATATAATAGAAAAATTTGTTTAAATTAATCTGTTTTAATTTATGTGATAATTAATTAATTAACTGATTTAAATTAAATTAAAATTCAAATGTAATATTAAAACAATAAAGTAAATTGTACAAATTTTATAAAGTTTCATGAAATTACATTAATCAAACTATTGTATTTTTATAATTAGAGTAAGTGAAGCTTTGTGATGTAGCCTGCACAAATGGTCAATCAATATTTTTAAATTAATATTAATAGATGTACAATGTTTTAACCCCTATTCTGTAGCGTTAATAAATAACGTTGCGTATAAGGTGGCAGGATTAATTATGTGAGCGTTACGTGCACAGTGGCAGGATTATTTAATAGTACATATCGTGTAGAGTGGCAGCTTTTTTTAGTTAAGCAACACGCATGTGTAAGAGAATATGTACCGATGTTGTGGACATAAATTACGTGTCGACC